AGCATTTTATCAAACCCTAGTCTCTTGGGCAGTAAGGGAAAGGCAGTCATAGGAAAGACTCCTTGCTTTTTTTTTTTTTTTTTTTTTTTTTAGAAGAGGTTAAATCTACTTGGATTTAGGCTTGGATTTTTCTAGAAATCATCATCACGTTATTGTACAGAAATAGTCAGATTGATTTGTTTTAATATTATGCTTGGGGGGTGGGGGGGTCTATTTATTACACCGATTCTTTAAAAAAAGTTTCTGCTTTCAAAGTCAACGTTAAAAACCAATTTGTTTAGAGCTGCCTTTAACAGTTAAATTTAACTGTTAACTGAGGGATCATTAGTTTATGTTGGTGGTCCAGCTGTTTTATTTACTTAACTGCCTGCTTTTATCTTTACTTGATTTTATACTGCCTTTACTTTCCTTTTATTTTATTGTTTAATTCATCTAAACGACATTGAATTGTCTTTGTACTGATTGTGCTATATAAAGAACTTGCCTCGTCTTACAGACACCTCACCAAAACAACCCTGAAACATTATTCATTGTAAAATGAATGAGATGCTTGTTCGATGTGATATTGTGATGTTTATGCTAAATACTAAAAGGGATCATTATGAAATAGTACATGAACAACTGGAGATGGGTTTTCCTTTTTTTCATGTTTCTTAAAATGATTCATTAAGCACTTTCTCCTCCAGCAGCTGTTGTTTCAGTGCGATTGTCCTTAGATTTTGTTGTCTAAATCTCTTGTGAAAAAAGACAAAAGTTAAAAGAAGAGGTACACAATGATATTTACCTCTGCCTGCCTGTATGCCAAATAATGTTTGGCATGAATAGCACGTAAGATAAAAAAAGATATTCATTATTCATATCGCACAGTCACACTGGATACTGAATGGATTTTGTGATCGCTCTGAGGTTTCAGAAATTATATTGATTTTTCTCTCCCTTAATCTACAACAGGTCCCCAGAGAACAGGAGTTCCTTTCTATCCCCTTTGTGTCTCCTTTGATTCGTATGGGCTGCTGTCACCTGGAAGCGATGTGCTCAGATAATCAGGGTTGGTTATCTGTCACTATCTTACGAAGATATTCCTTTGAAGAGTCAGCTGAAGGTCACAGAAAAAATATTCTTTTGTTTTGCAGTTTGTCTCTGTGTACATTGCTAATAAATATTCAAATGTATTTATTTTGTTGCCATCTGTAACAATCAAGAAATTCTTATTAGGGTCAAGTGCTTTACTGTTAGCCTTCTTTATTAATTTTCCATCCAGTTTTGACGTGTATTAGTTGTTGTCTTCTTTGAGCTTTTCATGTTTTTTTTTTTTTACTTGAACCATACTTTTGCTCTTAAAAAAACAAAACAAAAAACATAAAAAAAATAACGCTTGACCTTGTAACTACATTTTTTGGATGTGTTCTTGCTTTTGACATATAAGTAATATTTCTAATGCCCTTGAAAACAGAATAGTTCAGACACATTTCTAAAATCTCAAACTGGAATAACATTCATGTCAAAGACGGTATGTTAACCTTCAACCAAACTGTAGAAGTGGGGGATGTTGACTCATGTGATAACGGCTGGGATCAAAGTGTCCTTGGGCAACACACTGAACCCCATGTTGCCTCTGACATACTCAGCTCAGTATGAATTTATTAGGCAAATGTGACTTGTAGTGTAAATGTGCAGCATTCATATTTGTAAATACATATCTTTAAATACAGTAAAATGTTTTGACTTCACTTAGAATATAAGAATGATTTAAAAAGAATGGTATCAACAGTGAAAAAACTAAAAGAATAGTTATTAAAAGCCTTATACCACTTATCAGAGCAAAACGGTTTTCTTCTTCTTGCAATGAAGGAATCAAATCAGCTTCAAAAAAATAAGTTAGCTCTGTCTTTAAGAAGACAAAGCTTCTAAACATCAAATCTCTTCTCTGTATCTGTCTCCGTGTCTCCGTTTTACTGTAATTAGCTGTCTAGCAATGGGATCATGTCCAGAGACTCGGATGGTTTTGGCTTCTACCAGTATCTTTATATAAGATCTTTAACAAAAAAATTATTATTATTATTAATGTTAGAACTGAAAATATACAGTCATATGTTTATATAACCCTTTTTTATGTATTTAATACTGTTTTTAAGGCTGCAGTTTAAAAAATGAAATTGTCTAGAGCTGTTTTAAACAAAATTTCTTTTTGTATACACTCGTGTAAAATGACAAAATAAATCTGTCTAAGTCAAAGTCTCTTAACTCATTTTTTAATCTAACTTCTAAAATTCCTGGGACTTCAATTTTAAGGCAATGTCTCAACACTGACCAAATGTTACCTTTCCCAAGGTACAGATACTTAAAAATTAATCAAATATGGTATATGGTGGTGAGACACCTCTCAGTGAGCCAGGATTTGAGGATCCAATCTCCATGTGATTTGAGATCTTCAGTGCTGCACATCCCAAATAAACCTAATAGCCTAGAAAGGCTTTTTGTTTGTTTGTTTATTTATTTATTTATTTATTTATCATTTTCTACTCAAACATGTACCGATTTACTTAGAATCTAACTAGAAATATGAAATTAAAGATGCACATTATTAATAGATTTTAAAAAGATTTGAAATTGCTAATACAATGGAGATTGTCCATGCAATTTTTACCAGAGATTCTGCTTTTATTTTTTGCTCCTAAGATAGCTGAATAGTCATCACGTAACTGATTTGCTTTCACATAACCTTTTCTTCTTTTTGTAAAGACTGCATATCTTTATGCACAAAACAAAGAGAAGAATACATAGATAATTCACAGGAATATTGGCAATCTCTGAAATGTATGCTGGAGGTTGTTTTACTCCGATTAAGATGAGTGACACATTTCATAACAGTAAAACATATCCCCTTATAAATTCTTTAATACTTTATATTCATATTGTTTGAAATATTCTATATTATTAATGGTTAGTTTTTAATACTTTTGTTATCAATTAAAATCCTAGATGTAAGGTAAACTAAGAATTAGAGGAATTGTACTTCCATGGTTAGTGTGATTTGCAATCATTTACATTTTCCTGCATTAAGAAGGTCTCAGGGTTCATATCTGTCCTGTGTTGAGTCAGCATGTTCTCTCTCCACCCTGGCTTCCTCCCACCACATTTACATTAGCATTTTTTATATCCATTAGACGCTCTGTATTAGCCTTAGCTGTAAATGGGTGTTTATATTTTGCCCTACTGACTAACTGATTTATCACACAGAAATCCTTATGCAAAAAAATAAAATAAAATCTGGTATATATCCATTGAAAATGGATATATACTCAGCATGCTATTTTCATTTTCTCTTCACTTCATTTAAAGAAGAATATATATTTCTATGCATAGATCATAAGATTATTGTAGTTACTTTAAAGATAGACAATATATCAATGAACTACTAATTATCTGCTATGGTAGAAAACCATTAGAATCAATGTAGAGACTTACTGAAAAGGTTGAGTCATGGACTTCAGGATATCTTTTTAAAATTACTTCTCTTCCACAACAACATTTACGGAAATTCGTCTCTTATTTTGGAATTTAGAGGTGACATGATGATCAACAAGCACATTTCTCTACTGGGGAGTTTACCCCACTTGTAGCTACAGAATAGGAACAGTAGGGAGCGCACTTTTCTCACCATCAGAAAAAACTTTTTCCACACCCAGCATAGGAGCAGTTGTGGAGGAGTTTGTGTCTGGAGAGGTAAGTAAAGAAGTCTTTCAGCACACACATTTTTTAAAATAAAACTATCATTGTTTCATTTTAAATGAACTTTATAGATAGATGTGAGAAGCTACTCTATCCTTTTCTTAACAGTCTTGAGAGAACAAAACTATTTGTATTACAATAGTGTAAACTACTAAGTTTTAAATCTAAAAGTGTGAGAGATCACCACTGTTTTCTAAGATTATAGTGAATGAATAGGAGTATAAGGATAAGTCATGAGTAAAATGGAAGTGTCCTAAATGCCTAAACCCTTTCAATCTGCTTTCTGCACAAAACAGGCATATTTAGACACAACGAACTAACAGTAAAGCTCAAACAAATAAGAAATGACTTGGTGGATCAGATAGCATGCTTATGTTTACTAGCAACTCTTAGTTTCTTAAATGTCTGTGGTGTTGTGACATTTTGTTGATATCACACATTTCATCTCCCAGATTGTTGATTTTCCCAGTAACCCTTTCTGAAGAACTCACTGAAATCTCACTTAAATTTGAAACCTTTGTTTTGAAAAGCTGCAGCAACAACAAATGTACAGCAATCATTTTCAGAGGAGACACATATTTAGGCATAAATGTGTTTTTTCTTATTTTTTTAAGTCTGGCAAAATATTTGTCTTACTAGGAAATAATAATCAGAATTTTAAGATGTTTGTTTTTGTTTTTTTGTTTGTATATAGACAACATTAACACAGATAATCAATACAATTTCCTCTTGTGCATATCTACCAAAATCACAATTTATGAGGGTCCGAAGGCCGATATAGAAATGACAATTTAGCATATGCAATGAGAAATAGTTTTGACATAAGTGTCTTGAAATAGCTCATTAAACTGTTTTATAACCAAAGTTAACAGGGCCATATTTTGCATATCTCTGCTCCCTTAAACTAAAAAAAAATGCACACAGGTTGCACATGCAGTGAAGCATCTTGCCTGTGACTAAGACCCCTCAAGTATAGGGTCCTAAAGACAACCCTGTTATGAAATTTTAAGTTGATGAAAATCTATGTAGACTGCTCAAGGCCAGCAGGGGGCCTTTAGCAACAGCTAAATGTGCTTGTGTCTTGGGTCAATTCTTTGCAAAGGAAAAAAAAAAAAAGGTGATAATCAATCCTTCTTTAAATAAGCTTCTATGGGAAACACTTGCTTCCTATTAATTGTGGCCTTTAATTAAGACGTGCTGTTAGCACCAGAGATCCCCGGTCTCTGCTGAAATATGAGAGCAGCTGGAAGGGTGGGCAGGGCAGCGCAGGTAGAGGGCTTTTAAAATGAGAGGGACTTTAAAGGGGCTGATTGCAGGTGGAGCTCAGCCTTGGTCTTGCTTCTTCTTGGAAAAAGGCGTCAAAAAGCAGCATTTCAAGTTTGAAGCTGCAGCAACAGGCTGGTGGGGAAATCGTTCCACATGCAGCCAGGTTAGTGTCTGTCTGCAGAGGTTTCCTTTTATTGATTACATTTTTGTTGCACTGGTGATAAAATTCATTCGTTTGATAGAATGGGGATGTTATTTCAAATCTGTTGATTTTGATTCTGTGAGGCACCATGCAGCGTCATGCTGCCCCTCAGTATTGTCTGCATATATTAAAACGATAAATCATACTATCACAGATGTCCGGGCAACTGGAAGGAGGCCTGCAGCTGAGGACAACAGCTAAAAGTGGAGCTCTATCTGAGGAAGTTTTTGATTTGACCGCTTCTGACGGAAGCGCCAAGAGGCGCTCCAGTCCTGGAGACCAAGGGGAGAACAAAAAGGTGTCTGCGTCTCCGCAGGGCTGCGAGCAGAATGGGGAAGTTCAGCGAAAAATGACGCGCAGCCCCAAATGCGCCCGATGTCGCAACCATGGCGTTGTGTCTTGCTTGAAAGGCCACAAGCGCTTCTGCCGCTGGAGGGACTGTCGGTGCGCCTGCTGCCTGCTGGTGGTGGAGCGCCAGCGCGTCATGGCCGCACAGGTAGCGCTCAGGAGGCAGCAGGCTGCGGAGGGGAGAAGAGCGCATGGACAGGTCAGTTCATGGAAGATGTTGGAAGAAAAAAGTCTGATTGTTGAAGTTGAGAATAGATTAAGCCTACATGTGCGTCAAGAAGGGAATAATCAGAATTACATCTGTCTTTAAATCAAAAAGAATTAGATTAGAATTCAATACCCTTATCAATGCATATTTAAACAAATGTGTGAAGCAATGTATTTTCTTCAGAACATAACTTGAACTTCTAACAGAAGCTTTAAATAAGGTGTAAAATCTGCACTTATACTGTGGAAACTAATAATCTTCTAGCCATTACTTTTAGCAACAAATGTTGAATAGACAAATACTGGTTTTCAAAGGCCTAAGACTTTTATTTTTCAAGTGTGGTTTTTAATCTATTCAGTTGCAATCATGCAGAGTGCCGAATGTGTAGTTAATTGACTGGGGAAAGTAAATCAACATTCTTTTATCCCAACCAAACTCTGAAATAATTTTCTTTGACGTGTCATTGTGATCTTCAATAGTATGGCATTAGTTTGAGAAAAGTGATATTTTAAGGCAGACTTCCAGAGAAAATATATAATACATATATAAATATATATGTATATACATATATTTCATAAAAGCCTTTAGAGTTCTATCTAGTTGTGTCTTAATTAATGGATTACTTATCCTAATTACCCTTGGGTGGACAATTAGACTGTCTTTCTAGAATATAATTATGTCCAAATGTCTGAATCTTGTTAATTTCTCTCAGGGCAAAAAGGGGGTCAAGTGTTCAGCTCCGTTGAGGAGAACAGCATATCATTGTTTTACCAGAGCAGCTGACTCAGGCGTTGCGGCTAAGAGCCACCCGCAGGGTAAAGTATAATTAACATCCTATTACCGATTTACATTTCTCCTTTTTTCATTGACATTATTAAAATTGGATTTTTAAAGTTTGGAATATACTTTTAAATATTTTCCATTGCAAAAGTCTAAGTTATATCAATAATTATTAACTGTGTATGATACAGGGTATCGAACCTTATTCTTCTAAGCACAATCTAAACCTTATTAGCATGTGTAATTCCAATGCCATCAAAGTTTTAGTGCTTATTGCACCAATGTTTGACGAAATGAAAGATACTCACTTTAACAGTTTATATAGTATATACAGTATAGTAAGGGTTTTCATATATTAGAATTCCTCTTGGGCCTCCTGCCATCTGCTCAGGTTTAATTTTCTCAGGTTACAACCCCATTTTGTGAATTGATATGAAGATCAACCCAAAGTAGAGCATAAACAAAGGTTGAGATTAAACAAACCAAACATATTGTTTAAAATAACATTACACTATTGAAATAATAGTCTAAGCTTTAAACATGTCACAGAGAGCTGTTCAATCAATAATATTGAACTGGAATAAGAATGGCCTAACTTAAAACCCAGCCAGACACCAGTCTTCATCTTGACAGACAAGCTGGGCAGGAAGAGCATTATTCAGAGATTTATGATAAGTCTGCAGGCGCTGCAGAGATCGACAGCTTGGGTGGGATTATCTGTCAAAAGTCATGGACTCTTCAAATCTGGCCTTTGTAGTTGGGTAGCAAGATGAGAGTATGTTGAAGACACTAAATGTCTCTGTGGCCAACATGTAAAATGCTGAGTCTAGTGGAATACTGTACTGCACTATTACTTGGAACAAACCATCACCACTTTAAAAACATGGGTTGGATTGTGCTTGGGGGATGGCCTTCAACAGTGACAAGACACCTGACAATGAAGAGAGATAGAGCTTAATATGGATCTGAGAAAAAAAGGTTAGAAGTAATTAAAACCCAGACCACAATTCAATTGAGAAGTTGCAGCCAGAATCAACTGAAGTAAAAATTGTTTTCAATAAATCTAACTAATTTTGATCTATGTCACAAAGAAGAATAGGTGAACATTTCAGTGTATAGATGTGCAGTTGTAATTGTTTTGTAATTGTCTAATTAATTGCTCTGCATGGAGCTAAGGTTTCCTCTTTTCTTCCATGTTAAGAAATGAAGTAAAAAGGTGATTTAAATAAAAAAAAGATCACCATACAACTGTTTTACTGGTAAGATGTAATGGTAGAATTTAAACTGAGAAACAATCAGATTTTTTTGTGTTTTTATACTTATAAAAAATACTGATAGAGAGAATACTACACCTATATCTAGACAGTAAACCAGTTATTGTATAATGAAAATATGTAGAGTACGGAATATCAACGACTATGTACATTTCCAAAAATGGTTCCAAACTAGAGCAACCCCCCCACCCCCACCCCTTAAAATTGTTCTGCTGAAAATACAGTCTTAATGGCTGCAAAGCCATTTTCCCCATCACCCTCTCCCTTCTTAGTTGAGACAGGTCCCCCCTTTGAAACCATAGTAATGATGGTCAAAAATAGGGAAAAGGAGGGAAATCAGGCTCAGCCTAACAAGTCTTCTTGCACTAACTATGGGCTCCATAAAGAAATTATCTATTTAAATATAAACCTTATAAAATATAAATGGATTTGTAACTCCACAATACTGCTTTGCTCCCATCAGGGTTAAAACCTTTATTCCCAATAGAGGATGGCACGTCCAATGGGCTGAAGCAACGACACCAAACTCACTTTCCTTGCCCCTCCATCACCACCCGCATGAGAAAGAGACGAGCCTTCGCAGACAAAGAGCTGGAGAATGTGATGTTGGAGCGCGAGCTGAGACATAGAGAGCTGCAGAGAGAAGTTTCTTTCTCTCCCTCCGCTCTCATCCCCATACTTCACCGTCCACCGCCTCCTGTATCCCCCTGCCTCCGCTGTTGCTCCCCCAACAAGGACTCCTCCTCTGCAGGGGCATCCAGCTGTGTGCCTGTATATAAATATAAGCAGTTCTGTGACTGTGGCCTCCAGTTTTATAACTTCTTCCACCTAAAGAGTAGGTGCTCCACAGGAGGCGATTATAATGACGTTTTGTTAAGCCAAAGCTCAGCGCAGCACGGGGAGGATAAGGAGGTGCACAATGGTTGGAGAGACTGTAGGAAGAGAAATGAGCCCGAGCTCACACCCCCGCTATCACAGCAAAGACTTAAAGCTGATGTTAACATTGTTCCGTGTGTTTGTTTTGTCAAACCTACATTAAAACAAACAGAAAGTATTGGTATAGATGACTTTTCGATAGCTAGATTCCCAGCCCCTGCATCAGATATGCCTGTTCTTAGTGAGCTAGGTGTCTTGACACACACTAGGACTTTTGACACCAGACCTTTAGGTGGAAGAGGCTGGAACGCAGACGCTCTTTCCACTGAGGCAGGTCCTCATTTAGACTTTGTCGAGGGCTCCCATCAGGGCTCAGTGAGGTCTCCTGCTGTGAGGCCGTTGCCTTTTTCTGTAGAGGCACTGCTGAGAGCCTGACAGGCAAATGGAGAGCCAGTCTAAGTGCACTTTGTTTCATGTAAACTTGAGTTTCAAGCTATAAATACAGCTGCAAATCATGCAACATATGCATCATTTGACTTTTGATAAACATATTTTTGCTATTTTGTATATATTTTGGCATAAATAAACCACACTGACAGATGTTTCCCTTTATTTTCTTGTAACATTCTGCTTTTGCTACTTTTTGAACAGTGTACATGCTGTATTTCTTTCGCCTCCTGTGCAGTGCAATAAAAAATGTTCCTAAATCGATAGTTTTTATTTGGTGATATAAATATACAGCACAAATGCAAAAGAAACCTAATAAAAAGTAAAGCAGCAAAGCTAGTTTTGTGTTGTTTGTTTATGATATCATTTTGAATCTAAAAGGAAATATGAATATTGTCTTGCTCTGAAGGCAAGAGAGAGAGAACAGAGCAACATGCAAGGCCGGTGGATTATAAATAGCATTTTCCAAAATTATTCTAAAAGCATGAATAATTTCAACATTACCAATTACTGTTTCAAAGCCCACTGCAAAATACACTGGTTGTCTAAAAGTCAATAATCATATAATACGTTGTTTGATGTTTTATGGAGTATAGTTTTATCAAATCTAAAGAGTGAGGAAAATTGGAAGATGAGCCAGTGTTACCAAGGCGACATTGTTCTTTATTTTATGCCGTGGCTGACGCCAGTTGAGTTTGTTTGAGCATGCATGTGATCTATATCCACTTTTCTTGACTTTTTTTTCTCCTCCAGCTTTTTGTTCCACTGCCTTATCTTGTAGAGATGGAGGTCAGATACTTTTGACAACTCTGGACCTTGTGGCGTCAACACTAAGGGTGATAGCACATTCTTTGTTTGTGAAAGTCTACCACCATATCAAAGCGCCTCCCTTCCCTTCTTTTTGCAGCCAAACAAGTAAGACTAAATAGGCACAAAGGGAAGCAAGGGCTACAAGATGAAAACATTGAATGTATCTCTTTGTTTATATGTTAGGTTTTCTTTTATATATGTGTCACTTTCAGAGTATCAACACAACTGCAAAAGGGAATATTATTATAAAAAATGTCATATATTTAGTAAAATGAATAAAATGTATTTTCATCAGACAGTTAATGTTTCTGTTTGTTAGTTTAGGTCACCTTGCTTACCATACAAGCTAAAACATGCGTTTGTACCCAAACCTTTCACTCTATTGTTGCCTGTCTACATCCTCTTTTGCTCATTCCTCCTGTTCATCCACTCATTGGCGTGTATTTCAATTTTAGACGGATTGATTTCAGTCATTTGGGATAAAAAAAAAAAGCTATGCTTTGATTTTTTTCTCAAATTCAAATATAATAATTTGCAGTTTCAAAACTCCATGGGCAGGGATGATTGAAAAAAGGTGGCAAAGGAAATAATAGAGGTAGCTTGTCAAAGGGCCAGTCCAAATTTTGCACTGGCTCAGAATCAATTGTAGGTCTTTCTGTTCACCTCAAGTCATAATTTCAAACTAGGTCTCTTATTTTTATCATTCATACACCAAATTATAATCATTGTGCTAGGGATGAACATTATTTGAGAAATATAACAGGCAGAACAAGAACATGCACACACATAATAAATGTCACACTTTTGGTAATGTAAAGTTGAAACGATAATAAATTATTTCAAATAATTTTCAGTTTACAATATATATTGTATATATAATACACATACCTAAACTTATCAGAAAGGAAATATAAAACACAAATTTGTGTGGTATAAGCTTAGACATGATTCGGCCTTGCATTCTGCCTTTATTATTACTCATAATCAATTAAAATAAATCAAAATAATTTGAAATAAAACTATGTTGTCCTAGTAAGACTCTCTTGACATTTGATAATTTCATCTTATAGCCAAAGGTGCAGTTCACAAAAGTTTCGATTTTTCTTCTGTGCATGCTTTTTGACTATTTTCTTTGCTGTTATATTCCTTTGGGCTTGATTTTGTCAATTTCTTTATGATTATGATTTTTGTTAGAAGCTGTTGTCTTATTTCTTGTGCCTTACTTTATTTGTTTCATGTGCATTCCAGTTAATTTCCTCTTTGATCATATTTCTCTTTTCCCTCTTTATTCAGTGGCTCCAGCTCAATAAATTTCCCTCTTCTTCTGCTCGCTTCTTTTTTTCTGCCTCAGCAGCTTCACATAGGAAAAATATTTTCCATAGTTAAAAAGCATTCTCCTCAAGAAGAGCTTCTATTGCTCAACTTTGAGTCAAAAGAGCAGTACTTTATGTTGAAATAGGGGTACATTTTTAGCTTGAGTAAAAGTTAAGTTGCCTTTTCACTGCCAGATTTGCTCTGCCCTCTAAGCTGCACTTATGATGTTTTGAAAGAACCGGACTCTTGTAGATTACTTTTAATTTATCTAACTGTAGCCCTAACTCTGAAACTGAGGAAACTTTACTCAGAAAAAAAAAAAAAAAAAACGCTCTCTAGAATTTTAAAGAAAGACCACCATTTTAGCTGAGGGACCAATTTTTCCATGAAAAACAGGAAAATGTTCTCCGACAAAGTTATTGTGCAGACATCTTCTGACTACCCTGTCTTCCCTCTGCTTCAGAAACAACTGATACCCTCTGAAGAGCCCATCTGGTTTGCCTGTCATTTCTTATCCCTGTGATTTATATATATATATTTACACAGTTCAGACCAAAAGTTTGGACACACCTTCTCATTCAAAGAGTTTTCTTTATTTTCATGGCTATGAAAATTGAAGATTCACGCTAAAGGCATCAAAACTATGTATTAACACATGTGGAATTATATACTTAACAAAAAATGTCTTATACTCTAGGTTCTTCAAAGCAGCCACCTTTTGCTTTGATTACTGCTTCACACACCCTTGGCATTCTCTGATGAGCTTCAAGAGGTAATCACCTGAAATGCTCTTCCAAAAGTCTTGAAAGAGTTCCCAGAGATGCTTGGCACTTGTTGGCCATTTTCCCTTTACTCTTCTCTCCAGCTCACCCCATACCGTCTTGATTGGGTTCAGGTCCGGGGATTGTGGAGGCCAGGTGATCTGGTGCAGCACCCTATCACTCTCCTTTGTGGTCAAGTAGCCCTTACACAGCCTGGAGGTGTGTTTGGGGTCATTGTCCTGTTGAAAAAAAAATGATGGTCCAACTAAACACAAACCGGATGGATTAGCATGCCGCTGAAAGATGCTGTGGTTTAGTATGCCTTCAATTTTGAATAAATCCCAATGGTGTCACCAGCAAAGTACTCCCAGACCATCACACCTCCTCCTCCATGCTTCACGGTGGGAACCAGGCATGTAGAGTCCAACCGTTTACCTTCTCTGCATCGCACATAGACACAATGGGACCAAAGATCTCAAATTTGGACTCATCAGACCAAAGCACAGATTTCCACTGGTCTAATGTCCATTCTTTGTGTTCTTTAGTCCAAGGAAACTTCTTCTGCTTGTTGCCTGTCCTAAGCAGTGGTTTTCTAGCAGCTATTTTACCATGAATGCCTGATTCACACAGTCTCCTCTTATCAGTTGTTCTAGAGATGTGTCTGCTGCTAGAACTCTGTGTGGCATTGACCTGGTCTCTAATCTGAGCTGATGTTAATCTCTGAGTTTTCTGAGGCTGGTGACTCAGATGAACTTATCCTCCGCAGCCTCATTGGTTTGATAATTTTTACGACTGCACTTGGGGACACTTTCAAAGTTTTGCCAATTTTTCGGACTGACTCACCTTCTTTTCTTAAAGTAATGATGGCCACTTGTTTTTCTTTACTTAGCTGCTTTTTTCTTGCCATACTACAAATTCTAACAGTCTATTCTGTAGGATTATCAGCTGTGTAAGCACCTGACTTCTGCACAACACAACTGATGGTCACAACACCCATTTATAAGGCAAGAAATCCCACTTGTTAAACCTGACAGGGGACACCTGTGAAGTGAAAACCTTTTCAGGTGACTACCTCTTGAAGCGATATTCCCATCATCCTCTCCCTTCTCAGTTAACACAGCTACCCCCTTTGAAATCATAGCGAGGATGTTCAAACATAAGTGACAAGCAGGAAACTCAGGTCCAGCCTAACAGGTCCTCCTGTACTAACTATGTGCTTTCAGATAGAACCTTTTTATTATTTACAAAATTGTTTTTTTTCTAAATAACAGAATTTTGGCCACGGACCAGGACCTGTCTGACATTGTCCAGATTCTAGGCTTGTTTGGTATGATCAGACAGCTCCCCTCTCTTAGTCAGATCAGTAGCAACATTTAGTATCAGGATTCAATGGAAAACCTTTGATCCTCCTGCCAGCTCCAATGTGTTACAGACTAAAAGCGTCTTGGCATGGCAAGGTCATTTGCCTCGACACTTCTGAATTTAATGCTGGTTTTATATGGGGCTGTTAAACAGAAAGAATAACTTTCTATATAGAGAGACTCTTGCATGCTCATACTGTGCAGAGAGAAAAGGTTTTCTGTTTAAAAAGAAGGTCTTGCTTAAAATTTTTGTTAGAAAAAATCATTTGTCATGACAACATAGAAGAAAAAAAGAAAATACACACACTCAAGTTGCTCTGTGTTTCGGTTAACTTTTGCCAGTTAACTGCACAACTTTGACTGATATTGCTGCCCGAAGGTCAATAATTGTGTAAGGATGGAAGATTAAGTATCACTTATCTTCACATTTTTGCACCTCAAAGCTATAATCCCATGGGATACCGGTGTAATTTTTGTCAGAACATGTAGACGTCGATTAAATTACAAGTCAGTTTTGATATCAGTGGTTATTGTTTTGGCATGTTAAGTTGGCTGCCGATTATGCTGCCCTGCGCTCCTGTGACTGTTGGATTGGGAGTGAGTTTTAGTTTTTTTGTGAAATTTGTAAAGTTTTAAAAAGAAGCATCTCCTTGTTGCAGAAAGAGATGCTGGAATTAGTTCAAGCTAAAAGGCATTTTATACCTCTTCCACTTTTGGATCATTTTACAAGTTGTGAACAGAGTGCTCAGTAATACTGAAAAAAAAATCATGTTTACTTTGATAGTAAACTTAATCACCAACAGACTTAAAATATACAATATATATGACAGGAATTTGTGCCCATAGTAGAGGGGATTTAACAACGACTTTGACATATTAGCGTGTACTGTATATGCTAATGAGGATCTGAATTACCATCTGATTAATTTCAATCTGCTGTAGACTTAACAGTGGATATTTGACCATGATACAGAGCTCCCGATACCAAGTTATCTGAGGATAGCAAAACACAAGCTAAGGAAATACTTTGTTTATGTAAGAACAATCTGCTACAAGTTATGCATAATCTGCTTCTGTAGGGATGCATTTTGTT